CCTCTTACTATTTCTCCTCCTCCAAACCCTCCTCCTCCTCCTCCTCCTGCTCTTCCTGCTCATCATGCTAATCCTCCTCATCGACTGCCTTCACATCTTAGTTACCCTGCCGTCAACCGTCCTCGCCACCAACGACCAGCGTGCATCCCCCCTCCATCATCACCAGCATCATCAGCATCCGCATAATCATAATCACCCTCATCGCCATCAGCAGCCGCCGCAGTACCATCATCATCATCATCATCATCATCATCATCATCATCATCATCATCATCATCACCATCATCATCAGCAGCAGCAGCATCATCATAATCATCAGAATCATCATCATCATCATAATCAGCATAAGCATCAGCATCATCATCATCATCATCAGAGTCAGAGTCAGAGTCAGAGTCAGAGTCGTCATCACCATCATCATCATCATCATCATCATCATCATCGTCAGCATCAGCATCAGCATAATCATCAGCATCCTCATCATCAGCAGCAGCATCAGCACCATAACCACAACAATCCTCACCACCACCACCACAACAACCACCTTCATCATCATCATCATCATCATCATCATCATCATCAGCATCGTCATCATCATCATCAGCAGCATCAGCATCATCATCATCAGCAGCAGCAGCATAATCAGCATCATCAGCAGCAGCATCAGCATCATCATAATCAGCCTCATCATCATAATCATCATCAGCAGCATCCGCATCAGCAGCATCATCATCATCAACATCGCCATCAACGTCATCATCACCATTACCATCAGCAGTGTCATCATCATCAGCATCATTAGCAACAGCATCAGTATCAACAGCATCACCGGCATCAGCATCATCAGCATCATCAGTATCGCCACCAGCACCACCATCATCATCAGCATCAGCATCATCAGCGACAGCATCACCATTGCCCTCATCATCATCAGAAGCACCAGCATCATCTGCATCATCATCAGCGGCATCGTCATCGACCTAAGCCTCATCAGCAGCAGCAGCATCATCGTCCTCATCCTCATCCTCAACATCATCAGCATCATCAGCATCATCAGCAGCAGCATCGTCAGCACCAGCATCATCACCAGCATCAGCATCATAATCATCATCAGCAGCAGCATCATCCTAATCAGCATCATCAACATCACCATCAGCGTCGTCATCATCATCATCAGCATCCTCATCCGCATCATCGTCCGCATCCTGATCAACAACGCTATCACCAACATCATCATCATCATCATCAGCAGCAACAGCATCATCATAATAACATCGTCCCCCTCCCCTCCCCCGCCGCCCCACGGGGGGGGGCCTCCTCCACCAGCTCGCACAGGATGCGAACCGCCGCCGCTCGCGCAGCCTGCCACGGCGGGGGGGCGCAAGCGGAGGCGTCACCTCCTCCTCCTCCTCCTCCTGACTCCTCCTCCTCCTCCTCCTCCTCCTCCTCCGCCTCCTCCGCCTCCTCCTCCTCCTCCTCCTCCTCCTCATCCTTATCCTCCTCATCCTCTTCATCCTCATCCTCCTCCCTTCTCCTCCTCCTCCTCCTCCTCCTCCTCCTCCTCCTCCTCCGCCTCCTCCGCATCCGCATCCTCCTCCGAGTTCTCCGCCATCCTCGCCTCCTCCGCCTCCCTCCTCCTCCATGCCTCTCCCTCTCACCTCCCTCCTCCCCCTCCTTCCTCCTCCTACTCCTCCGCCTCCTCCTCCTCCCCCCTCCTCCGCCTCTCTCCCTCCTCCTCCTCTCCTCCTCCTCCTCCTCCTCCTCCTCCCTTCCTCCTCCTCCTCCTCCTCCTCCTCCGCCTCCTCCCGCCTCCTCCTCCTCATCCTCCTCGCCTCCTCTCCTCCTCCTCCTCCTCTCTCCTCCTCCTCCTCCTCCTCCTCCTCCTCCTCCTCCTCCTCCTCCTCCCCTCCTACCCCTCCTCCTCATATCCGCCTCCTCCTCCTCCTCCTCCTCATCCTCCTCCTCCGCCTCCTTCTCCTCCTCCTCCTCCTCCTCCCTCCTCCTCCTCATCATCATATCATCATCATCAGCATCAGCACATCATCATCAACATCATCACATCGTCATCATCATCATCATCATCAGTCATCAGCATCATCATCATCATCATCATCATCATCATCATCAGCATCATCGCATCAGCGATCATCACAGAAGCAGCAGCGCATCAATCATCATCAGCATCATCCATCATGCATCAGCATCAGCATCATCATCATCATCTCAGCATCACATCAGTCAATCATCATCATCATCATCCATCATCAGCTCAGCATCATCATCATCATCATCATCCTCATCATCCTCATCATCATCCTCATCATCATCATCAGCATCATCATCATCACCATCATCAGCATCATCATCATCAGCATCATCATCATCATCATCAGCAGCATCATCCTCATCAGCATCATCATCAGCATCATCATCATCATCATCATCATCATCATCATCATCATCATCACAATCACCATCAGCAGCATCATCAGCATCGTCA